GCGGTCCATGATGAGATCTCTGAAGATCCAGATGGAGAGAACAAAGTCAAGTACGTATAGGATGATTTCACGTAATATGATTCGTGACACCGTGCAATTGCTTTCAGTCCGTGTCAGATAGAAGAATATATCTGTTTGCATGTCGCTTGTGATATGTTGGATACTGGAACTCGTGTTTTGGTTTTCTTTCTACGGCCCTCGTAGTTAGCATAGACATTTTAGCAAAGAAGCTGAAAAGAAACGCAAAAGCAGTCGTAAACTGAGCGTCCGTAAGACCTGTTGCTCCAGAGGTCCTGGTCAGTATATGGTGTTTTAACTCGTACTCTGAATGAGGCTCATAAGGCAGTCTAAGGGAGCCTTCTCAGGTTTCTGCTAAGACTTCAAGCGATGGAGAAGAGTGAATGTCAGTTTTGCTCTGACATGAGGCACTGAGGTGGTGGTCGGTCCTGGGAGAGACTTTGGTTGGCAAACAGGCACAGATCAGTTTCATAGCCGTGTACAGTCGGCAGAGGCTTAGTAGGTTGCGGACTACACCGCAGTCCAACAATTGCAAAGGACGGACATGACAACAATTCACCATTGTAAGTAACAGGGTACCGCGCCAGAACACTCGTGTGACAGTTGTGACATAGGGATGGTGAGCACGTTCAGTACGCAGTGGAGTAGCTGTACTCTTTTCTGACACGTGGCCCAAGATGGAATCCAGTATCTCACCTTCTACCGTCTTGATAATCTTCAGACAGTGCTCACCTACAGCCCTTTGCCATTTGACTCTCCACCAATGACCATGACACCGATACATGCACTTAAGTCTCTAATAAGGACGTAGAAATTTCATGAACGAACATTTCGACAGATTACTATAATCAAGCATCGATTTTCAAATCCTTTCCTATCATGAATCTAAATCTGTTCCTCTGAACAAACATTCGTACTCGTGACCTCTATGACAAATCAGAAAAAACTGCGTATGTCTCAAGCCGCAAAACAGACAGTTGTATAAACGTAATTCTTCTATTCTTTTGCCTCCATGACATTAGCATTGTCAGAACGTTCACTGTTCTCTATGAGAAACCAGGTCCCGCAGCTGGAAGGTTTAGGGCCTGCTCTTCCTTGTCTGACTTCATGCCACCACCATGTCAGAATCAGAATGAAGCTTCTCTGAACATAAACTTGTATGAACGGCTGTCCTAAGATATCAAAGCAAGTTACAGAAGACGAACTGCTGAAGTCAATTTAGGCTTACGCCCATAGTCCAAGTATAAACATTCTGCTGTTTGATGGAAGCTCTGTACTGAAGTTTCATGACATTCCAGGAACCTAGTACATGAAACACATGTACTAAATTTGTGGAGTGTCATGAGACTGCAGTACACATGTTTCATGATTAATGTATGACAGCGCTATATCTTATGGCGGTATAATCAGATCAAATGACACGGTGTCAAATTTACTCTCATTTACTCCATCGTCGTGTATACGAGAATTCATCTGGAAAGAAATTTGGCCTAACCATACAAGATTCGAGTCAAAGTGTGACACAGTGGCTACAATGTACCCGCTACATATCAACAGTATGCGCTCTGAGAAATTCGGAAACGTCATCATATACTTCCCTTCATCTTTTATTCCCAGCGGTGCGATCATCAACACAGGTCCCTTAGTTGTCAGCCACCATTTACTTTAGCCCACTTAGCAGGCCTTCCAGGGCATGTCCTCTAGCTTAGAGCTAAAATGAGTTTCCACTACCAATTGAGAAAATAATTGCAGGAATAATTCAACGTTCGTTGAACAGAAGTATTACATACCGCTTATCGGTAGAATAATTAAGTGCAATTACTGAAAAATGTCCTTAAGAGCACCCACAAAAGTTTGAGATTTTAGCCTCCGGCTCCAAGTCATTTGAAGTTTAGTAAACCTGGAATAGCACCTACATTTACGTCAATCCTATGCAAGGAAATAGTTATGGGTTTAAGTTCATACTGCTTGTATTTGGAACCTGAATGGCATCTTAGAGTAGGAGGATTACCACTGGCAATCCTTCGTTACTGCAGGGTAAGTTACCAGTACTCTCAACTGGAGACACGGCGATCTCCTCGGTAGTCGAGCAATGGAACTGAAAAGAATTTGTATTATATCACACGCAAAGAGCTGCATGCTACCACGAGTCTGTACACCATATCAGTAGCAACCAAGCTGGCCATTGGTAGGCTCGTTATCTTGGTATGCAAGTGATCTCATCTGTCATGTTTCAATGTATACCTTGTAATCATTGCTCAAACATATATCGTTTTATCGCCTTTCATGTAGGAAAACCGTTCTGTTTTATCCATCCTGGTTTTATATACCTTTGATGACTTCGTGGGGTTTTTTGATCGTGATACTCAGGTGAATATGTCTATAGTTGTTCCTAACCTTTAACAAAGTCTCTTTGCTACAAGTTCTTCCTTGCCTCCCTCGAGCAGACAACTAGAGTCTCTGCAAGATATTGGTTTTCTAAGCTGATTTTCACTTCCTTTCATACACACACAACTGTTAGTTTGATCACTTTTGAAGTTCTCCAGAGACCAGTTACCTTTTCCCTTTCAGAAATCATTTGCAATTGATATATTTCATGTCATCTGAAGTTTATATCACCTCAAGATGTTGCAGTTCTTATCATTTTTGCGTGAGATCTGGCCCGATTCCCATCATCCCCTCAAACAACATCTGCGTCGATGTTATGCGTAGTGATCGATGCAAAACGATCAGAATATTACAGGATTTCAATACAGTCTTGATCAAGTGACTGGTCAAAACAAAAGGAGAACTTCTAAGAGAGTAAAAATAAAAAATATAATCAGATAATCTAATACCTCTTACTACACAACACATGTTAATCACCGACATCTATCAACAAAGATCAGTAAAACACCGTACTATGAGTTCTTTTGAGGATGCGTGGTGATTAGGTGACGTCTTCAGAGTGGAAATTATTTGGAAGATTTGAATCACGTAAGACGCCATTCTTTACAGGTACAGGAGTGGATTGAGTAATGTGCACGGACGTGTACTTCATTCACTTTGTGAGAGGATCAGCTGACTCGGACCCTCACCTTTTCTACGCGTTCTTTGCCATGTAACAGTGCTTTCCAAAAATGCCTGCGGAAAGCGTTGCAGAGTGAAATTTGGAGACAGATTTTAAAATAAGAATCATTCATAGCTAGTCCCTCAGACAGCGTATGATTCTGGGCGAATCTTCCTTTGGATTACGTAAGAAAGTAAAGTAAGGTTTGCACTCGACAGTGAAGGTGGCCCACTTCAGATGCAAACTGTCTTTCTGACATCGAAGCGATGCTGTAGAGATGTGATGACCACCAAAGATCTATACTGGTAATTTTCCTCAATTCAGTGCCGTTGTTTCAGAGTTCTCCAGAAGAGTTTTGGCCGAAATAGACACAGTATACTGCATGCAAAACGAGTACCGCCTTCAAGCACGCTGGGTTGAAGGCTTCTGCTGGTACGAGGTCGATGGCGACATCACAGAAGATTTTCATGATTACATGTTCCCTAAAGTTTGTGTATTTGTTGTGTCATGTTTTTCCAGTTGTACTTTCACTCGTTCCATTCACCATTCATTCATCCATTCATATCTAAGTCGTGAAATAAGCTGATCTTTTCTAAGTACCTTTCAACTGGTAATTGATGATTCCATGAAGACACCAGGCTGCTCTGGTTGCCATGATTTCTACATATGGACACTGAGCAGCAAACTTTTAGCAAAGCTGTTCAGGAATATCTCTAGCGACGACTTGCGGAAAGACATTAGGTGGCAAGAATCATCATCTCTTCCAGATCTACTGAATGAAGTCGTACGATGTACAGAGTTTTCATTCACCTACTTTTGATCATTCTTGTACGGGAAAAAACATTCTGTCGAACCATCGACTGCATTTAATTCGATATTGGAAACATTACCTGCACAAAGTCAGTTCAAAGATAATACGAGTATGTTCTGAATATGCTGACATATGCGGCTGCAAACAAGATTATGCCAAGCTTTGTTTGAAGAATTCTAAAGTTTGTAGACAGAAGTCGTGAATTACACGCACAAATTATTTGCTGAATTGATTTTTTTTGCTAGATTTACTGCAATGGCCATTTATTCAACTTAACTTGAGTCGAATAATTTCTTTAGACATTGCGCATTTCTAATTTCATTCTGGGTGTAATATTTCCAGTAAGTAGTAGTTATAATCTGAAGATTACTTGATGAACCACCACCTTCTGTATTGCTACCCTTCACTTTGCAATTCTCAATCGGCTTAGAAAGAGCAAAGACTAATATTCCAGCAATGTTATTTCTGAACATATCGCTTCCAAACGACTCCAGGTCGCTCATTCGCAGTGTTATTTGCCTTACTTGTCAGTTCTTCAGGCGAGGAATATATTTAAACAAACTTCCATCATTGACTATGATACATGACCTATATATAGAAAGCCGACTTGTCAGCTTTCCAGCGCACCTTAAGTCTCTTGGGGGTAATATAAATTAAAAAATGTTGCTGCCTGCCTAATGTGTGGGACTGGAAGTATGCTCTGAGTTATCTAAAGATGTTGAAGTGCATTACAATGCGTGGTTTTGGAGTGCGAATTCGATGTACACATTGATAATACAATGTTTTCGATACAGTTGTATGCTTTGTGATGATCTCTTCCCCAATCGGAAGAATCTGTGCAGGTAGAATGCTCACCGTCATTTGTTATGAGAGTAAATTTCTCATCTATCCAACTAATGCCTGTGCAGATTTAACCGACAAGAATGTAGAAATTTTTGACTTGTTTCAAAGCCTAATCATATGCTAGAATTCCATGTGCAGATAGTTCATAGACCCCATAAACCTCACCCTGAACTTCGATGGTGCATGACACGACAAAGGAACCCAACAAAAATACTGAATCCTGATACTACTCCTTGGACGCAGAGAATCACGTATATCTGTGGTTGGCAAGGAAAGCTGAGGACTATGGATGAGACAACATTTCACAGCACAGACAATACAGAACTGAAGATGGACTTGGCGTAATGAGCAGAATAAAGACAAGGATGCATGGTGATCAGTGTGAAGTCTTCTCGGTAACCTCATACCATGGGCATTTGGTTGCCAGCCATGAAGGTGTGCATAGTTTCCTCAAACGTAGAGTGGATTACTCCTATGTGAAAAGTCATGCCGCATGTTCACTCAACACCCCGACCTGCTGTCACTAAAATCGCTTTGAAAACTACAAATGTGATAGTTTCTGAGTGGACAGCGTCCGATGTGTCGCCTGTTCTGACGACAAGCACTATGAAAGCACTATGAAGGCATCTCATACTCGTTTCATGCAAGGTTAGGAACCCTAGAGAAGTACCAAGGACTTCTTCACAGAGAGAACAAAATGAGCATAACAGAGACTTTGCGTGAGCTGATCACACATTCGCCAATTGATTACGCTAGCTGTAATTACAGAGTGTACACTATACATGGTTGATTACTTGGAATCCGATGACAACGCATACTTTGGATCCAGTCGATTTACACCTACATTCCTAGATCTTTCCTGTACATGGCCTATGAACTATATGTGCAGAACTTTCAAGCAGAAAAACGAGCTGAAGCTGATCATGAGCTCTGGAGGACTAGATGTTCTGCGCGTTGACTGCTATTACGTTCAGGGAGTGTGAAGACAGGGCCACTAGGTGACTTGAACTGCTTGATAACAATAGTCGGATTGCCTCAAGAGGCACAATGAGCAACCGTAAAGATGAAACTGATCAACTGCAAATAGATGCTTGAGTTCTTGAACTGGCAGCAAAATTTCCTCTGTGCGTTGTCGCCCAAGACGAAGAATCCGATACACTTGATCGGAGCTCCGATTTACAGCAGGGGCATACGACCAATGCGCCTGTCGCGAGCGGAAGTCGGGTGAGAGTGTGCTGTAAATGTTGCCACAGACCGCTCGGTATGATACACTCGTTCTCCATACAGTAACACGTTGGCCATTGACATGACACTCAGTAACATGTTGTGATTGAAAATGTCGAACTGTCACAGAATCCTTCATCCCCAGATGTCCTGATTGAAGAAGAACTCCTTCTCGTACGTCTTCTTTTGAAGCAGTTCGTTATCTACGACACTCGGTTGCCAAGAGACTCGCTTCTTCGGGCGTGGAGCGAGAGTGACACTCACCACTTCGTCCGGTGCTTTGGTTTGCATGTAGGCATTCCTGGGATCCTGCAACTGCACCATGCTCTTGGATCTCTCCATGGTTCTCCTTCCGCTGATCTTCCTGTGATGCTGTCTCCTCTCTCTCTCTCTTCCTTCTCTACCTCCCTCTGAAGAACAATCGCTTCCTCGCTCTCTGAGCCTCTCTCTCTCTCTCTCTCTCTCTCTTCCTGATAGTTCTACAACTGATTTGATGGCAGCCGAGGCGAGAGTTTTCGAGCTAATAAGGGGCAGCAGGGAGGACCCAAACTTGGGACCCAAGGGAAGAAGGCCTTGCACTAGTCACACGTCGCGTATGTCGCAGCAGTCGTCGAGGATGGCGCTGGGGTGATGAACGGCTCACGACGTGAATGTGAGATTTCTGAGCGACGTGGCGGCCCTTTTATGAGCGCTGGTCGGGAGTGCGCCCCCGAGCCCGGCTCCCGAGCGAGCCTGCCTCGATGCTCGGGTCTTGAGAGGCGATGCTTATAATTAGCGCTAGCTGGCCGGCAGTACTATTTGCTCGTGGGAGGTAGCCTCGAAGGCCATGCTTTTCACGCTACTTATTGAAGCTCCAGAGCAGGACTACAGTTTCAGAGCTTTCAAAACTCGAGGGGCCCACATTCGCCCTGCAACGCCCCCGGTCCCCGTCCAGCCTCCATTAATGATCGGTAGATCTGTTCCTAGGCATCATCACCCAACTCCGCCAATGTGGTCCGTTCGGACATATATTTACGCGTGCATGCTCCTCTCCCGATTCCAGCCGCGGCTGCTGCTCAGTTCGCTACCTCACATTTCCACTGTACCCCACGCCAAACCAGTCAAAGCTGAATCAGTTCCGGCTCCTCTAGAAATCGCTGCGAGTCCGTGACTTTGCTGATGACAAACTTGGCCTGTCTTCGTCTTCAAGGTACGCTGTACACATCTTCTTCATCTTCTCCGCCAAGTGTGCGTACTTCACGAAGCAGTTGGCAGGCAGCATCAGCTCTCCCATCATCAAAATGCTTGAGCAGCGCTAATCATCATTGACCTGCTGCTGTGGCGGGTCCGTACTCGTTGGTGTGGATGGGACGGGGTCCCAAATGTTGGGAGGTCATGCGGGAGGTCTGAGCCATCCTCTCCGCTTCTGTGGGTTCGCCTCTGCAAATCTCCAAACTCTAGAATGCTGGTCTAAAAGAGCACATCAATGCTCGCTCGGGTCGTTTAGAGTGCCCGAACAGGAGAAACACATCGATGCGAGGACTTGGAGTCAGACGTCTGGCCACCGAGTCCTGGTAGCGGCTGGGAAGATATTGCTGCACATCCTGCATTACTAATCCTGCATTTAGTGCAGGATGTGAAGCAAAATATCAAAAACTACTTTTACTAAAATTTGCGGGGCCAGCTCTCTCAATACATGCTGTCATCCGATTTGGGCAAAGAATTCCCTGGATGAAGCTGAAAAGTGTAAGAAGTGAGTGGCTTTCAGCCCTTTCGGTGCAACAAATCGCTCAAAAGACTTAGAGAAAGTGAAACCACCACCCATGCATGAAAAAAAGCTACATCTAAATACATTTTCCAGCCACTCTTCAGGCACATTTGTGAGGACGATCAGATTACCAACCAAGGTACTCTTACAATTTCCAGTCAATGACTGAAAATTAATCTCTCATGTGAAGATTCAAGGTGCCTTGAGGGAATGCAGACATTCCCTTACAGGGCGAAAGAAACGATCAGAAGCACGAGGGCACAAGTCGAGTCTGTGTTGGCTGATTCACAGGTGTAATGACTGGGTTAATCCCGAACGTAGCAACGTATTCTTATGATTCCTGTTGTCGTTCGAATCATGAGCGCATCAGTTGGAACTTCGCTCCGTGAGCCCGTAGAGCTTACTGATCTCAAAACTCTGTCTGTCGGCAGCCACATTGTTTAGTATAACATTGAGAAGCTGCTGACTCGATGCCCGGTCAACAAAGTATCCATTCCGGATAGAATAGTGGAAGATCCGGAGACACTTGGAATCAGATCTTGACTTCAAGAGTTGAGTATTTTACTTGTGAGGGTAAACTTTTTGATCGAGCATCTGTGGAGGTTGTTACTGAGAGCTCTTCAATTTGGGCCTGCCCCACTCTGGCAAGTTTCTGATAACCTTTGAGATCGATCGTGAAGCTTGTACCTCACGATGGATGACGAGTTTTTGGTCGGCGAGCTGTCGATTTCACAGCAAGTATCAGGCTTTGTTTAATTGGACTTCCAGAAGGTTCTAGCTCACCTCTGACAGCTGCTTTGTTATAAATTGCCGTTTATCGCCGTTTCGCTTGCTCATCTGTCGATCTCAATGGCCAACAAGAGGACCACTATGCTCCCCTGTTTATAACCCAGAGCCCATAATTGGAGTCATAAAAGGGAATTTTCGATATAGCTCTTTGAGACTAGCTCTTTAAGAAGTGTTCAAGTAACCTCGTGAGTGACCAAAAAGTCCTCGAGGACAATAATGGAGCCGGTATTGCAGTGTAAGACGGCGACAACTTTGAGATTCACGTAATTACAGTGCAGTTGTTTGGTGCTGAAGAGATGCCTTGAGAAGTCGTCTTCGAACTGGAACTGGGTGCATTGTGTCCAGTTTCCGTTTCCATTCTAGTACTGGTTCGAGAGACATTTCCCGAACGCGTCTCCGCAATTTGAAATGGACATTGCACTTTTCCTGACACCTACTGCAGGCTGGTGCCCGTGAGCCATGTACATTATTAAGGCATGAGGCAAATTTTGAAGCAAGCAAATTATCATCTCTGTATCGCTTGCATTGCCTGGATGACTGATTCAACAAGCTGTCAAGTGTAATTTAAAGCCTGTGTAATGTCTTTTCCTGGCCACCCATGCGATGTAAGTTGAATGAATTATGCAGAAACATATAGATTTAGAAGTAGCTCGTTTATGGGATGGTTTATATATCTCACGGAAATTGTGCATGAAATCAAGGGCAAGACGTACAACTGCTCGTGTGTTTTGACTGAAAGGCTTATGAATCATTCAAATGATAATTTGATTCTATAGCTCATAGTAATCCAATCCGATTTTGAGCCAAGAGATGAGCGCATTGTAACGAAAGGTCACGCAAATTGCAGGAGTTGAGGTATGACATAATGTTCCTGGCTCAATCTCATGTCCGTCTAAGCCATTGCCGCATCATATCGACCATATGATGTGACTGTACAGATTATCGTATCGTTTTCACGGTTCCTTCCCTGCGGACCGAGTTTTCTGTCCCAGCCAATGACTTTCTTCTACCAACTCTGGAATTGACCCTGAGGCGTTTTCCTTCCCCCAACTCTGCAGCACTTCCAGCCAGAAGGATGTCAGTCGGCCCATGTGACATCTTATCAAAGAGCTATCAGGTGCATACGAAGAATGCTGCTGAAGATTTCGACATATTTGAGTCATGGACGTTGAAGTGCAGCTGTATTTACACCGAGTCCGACCTGCTTCCTGAACTTCCTGACAGCGGAACCTCTGATTTGCTGTCAACTTCAGAGCAGATTTGATTCAGTAAACCCAGAACTTTACACAACCCCATCATCACCCGAGATGATGGGAAGTAAATTTTGCAAATCCCAAGTATTGTAGGAAAGTTAAGCTTAAGTAGACTTCACGGGTGAAGACAAGGGATAGAGCTGGATGAAGAGACAAACACAGGACAAAGTACGTTCTTGCTGATGTCAACACGCAAGAAATGTGCTGTGTAGGTATGGCTCTCACATATTACAATTCTACAGAATCTGAACCCCGCAATACCTAAATTCACAATTCGGGTAGATCCTCATGACCAATTCCTCTCGAGTCGGTCTGTAAAACTTTGAAGTGCACCGTGCACATGTGTCGGAGGGGCTAAAAACCTCCAACTTCATTGCCGACAGACAAACAGGTGGACTTCGTAAGAGATCAGAGAATCCAAGGGTTGTATTGAGCAGCATCACAAATATGATTTCAGGAAATCATCTAATTCTCTCATATATTACACGTCCAAAGACGAAGTGCTCGAGGATCACATTTATACACAATTGACAAGGCACCTACTTTGAACTAAAATACTGACATGAGGATCCGGTTCCCAAATGGAACGTTGTTATCCACTAGACCCATTTCTAGCAATTCTGCTTTTGACGAAGTGGTTGAATAATTGCAACCTTTCTGGCTGATGGCCCAACGCTATTTCCTATTCCCGTTCCTACTTCATCTACTTAGATATCGTAGAATTCCGACTCACCGAAATCGAAATAAAGCTCCGTTTCTGACAAAAATTGGTGATCGCAGCTAACGACCTGGAGTCTGGAAGACAGACAGCTCGAATGACCAGCAAGGCATGCATCCTGATCTCCGCCACAGGCCACGGCAAGGTCAGGTCGAGTGGATGTCATTTGATGCCCAGCAGACATTTGAAGCGCTTAGTCGCGACTGCTGGAGGTGCTGCAAGAATGTTGCTACGGGGAAATTTCGTCTGCGAATTTATCCCCAAATGTCCTGGTTGAAGAAGAACTCTTTCTCGTAGCATTTCTTTCCGAGGAACTCGTTGTCCACAACAGTCGGCTGCCACGTGACTCTACTCTTGGGGCGTGGAGCCAATGTCACGCAGACTATTTTATCCGGCTGTTGTTGGTGTGTCTGACTGTACACACTTCTCACGTCCTGCAATTGCACCACGCTCTTGCTTCTCTCCAATGTCCTCGCCATTCGTCCTCCAGGAAGTTTAAGAGATACTGGTGTAATGGTAGAATTAAAGTCCCTGAGCTAGACTCCAGTCACAGTCTCAAAGTGTATTGAAGCTGATTCTCAGATCACCTGATTAAGACGATCTGTTGTTACGGGATTTCCAATTAGCTGATGCACAGAGAATCGCTGTTGAGATGAGATGAGATGAGCGAGGGGAACACCGTTTTATACACATCTAAGAACACTCGGACAACGATCTGAGTGGTGACGCCCGGTGGACACTGTCCAGTGTTTTGCTCGTGGAGGCAATCGGCCCATGCTTTCTGCGTTGGTCGGGCGGAAATCTGACTGCAGCACGCGCTCTTCACAGACCTCAGCGTCGTCGGTACAGTCGCTAAATTTTCGAATATGAAAGGACGGGGGCGGCCCCACGCTGTCTGTCGGTGGCTCCCACTCCCGAGGGAATGGTTAAACGCATTACCAGTATCAAGTAAACCCCCACACATTCAATACGCAAGCTATTCTGTGCTCTGGTTTCTCCGCAGAGGTCCATGCATGAGGTGAGGAGGAGAGGGGAGCTCCATGGGTCGATGTGCGACCACATAACAGGAAAAGTTTCTCTAACCGTGTGATCATGTCTCAGAGTGTACGGGTTCCCGATTACACAGGAGCACCCCTACTGCATTTGTATGTCTCGAGCATAGACCCTACACTTGGAAGATCGGCTGGGAGTCCTGTTTCGCAAGGAGACAAAGTGTGAAACTAGAGGCTGCGGTTACCCTGAACCAATCTATTGGTAGGCTCGATAAGTCAATCTTTTGCAGGAGTTTGCTGACACTCTCAAACATTACCACGAGACGCTTTTCTTGTTTGCATATCCGAGTCAACCATGGAAGTGCTGATGCTCGGTAGGCCCTTCGGCTATGGGTAGCGAAGACGAAGCTAGCCTATGCTTGAAAACGTTTTCTTTGCAGCACAGTTCGAAGTTCTGATCCACATCATCTTTGGCAAAAGGCTCACTAGCCAAAAAGCTCATCACTCATCACTCTGCAACGCAGACGCTCCATCCTGCATGGATGGCTGAACTCACGCGTTCGGTGATTGAAAACCACTCAAATATATGAGAAGACTATGTTTACATGTTTTACAGACTACGTTGCTGTAGAACTCCTTTACCTCTGGATGTCAGACCCCGAGGCGAGATACAACTGCAAGGCGAGATATAACTTTTTGGCTCAGGTTAGCCCATGGGACTTTCCACGTCATGCAATAAAGAATCGCATGCTAGACCCTGCAGTCTATATAGCTCTATACAGTTAAGATTCTGACGGCGTTGTTGTAATCGAGAATGAAAAATCCAACGCGTTTTCCCAATTTTTCCATGCTCCTCGTAGCAAATTATAAACATGATCATTTGGAATGCATCACACCGAAAATCTACCGACCGTGTGGAGGATGAATGAGATTCGAAACGATCAATCATTCGTCACCGAAGGAACAAATTCCTTCTCCGTAGTACCTCGAAGATGAACGGAAGCTCAGGAGCGCGTTTCTTGCTTCGTCGACTTGACGAAACTGTTCCCAAATTGTGGGGATCGCTGCCGACTTGTCACTTTCCAGTGGAGGTATCAGGTTATTATGATTAAGAACACTAAGGTATCAAACGTCTGAAACATGTGCAGAACAAATTTTACTACTTTAGCTGAAAGTAAAAACGGGGAGGAGAAAAACAGTATTATTACTCTTGTACCTATAGCCCGGAAATCTTTTGACTACGTCAGGCAACGAAAAGCTGGAAATAAAGAATGTGAGTGCAGAAGTAGTCTGGAGCCAAATCAAATCTCTTTACATTCCTTCAGGGCCAGACATCAATGCCATGAAGATTGTCCGTTAAAGAAAACAGAGCCATTAAGTTGGCACACAAAAGCGTCAGAGGCCAAACAGAGAAAGCTGTTGGAGTACTCTGACTTGAGAGTATAAATATTGACATGGATTGAGGTCAGTCTGCGAATAGACGAATTAAATAATCTTCTGATAATAGAGTGAGCAGAATTAACTGGCAGGAAGCAAATTACCATGTATCTGAACATGGAATGTATGCAGGTATGGCTGTTCAGAGTTTGAACAAACACAGAATGTGCACTGCTCTAGGTACGGATCCTTCATCACCAAACTATGCCAAAGGTGGAGAAGTTGGTCCATATCCTGCTGTTGCACCAAGCGAATACAAAATGGAAATGTTTTTCCCTTTCATGAGGAACCGTTCATCTATACTTCACAGAATGCACAACTTGATGCCTTACGCTACTTCATTCACAATCCTTCCTGCTCCAACCGACCAGGTATATACGACCAGTACATCTACAGAGTTCGCTCTGACACGTGACCCATGTGGGGCCTGTGTGAGTAGCGTAACATGTGTAAAGTCAACAATGGCAAATCTCGCCATCCACTTCCCATATTCTCGAAATTTAGATTCCGCGGAATGAACGTCTAGAACCACTTTCTTTCATGGAACAACTGATCTTACCCTTTTGGTTTCATCCACGGAATGAACGTCTAGAACCACTTTCTTTCATGGAACAACTGATCTTACCCTTTTGGTTTCATCCACGTACGACATGATTGGGGTCTTCCCATCCTTTTTGCTACATTACTCGCTTCCGCTTGGCTCCTTTCACACAACAACTGATCAGAGGATGTTGTATGATGTGAAGACATTGCTTGGCTCAATACACTGACAAATCCAGCAACCTGTGGTAATCACATGTCAACCTCTTGACAAGAACGTGCTCAGTCCGTTACGCTTGACTTCTCTTCTTTTTCTCCATTGCTGCGATGGGGATCAGGCCATGTTTGTTCCCCTCCGAAGGTGAGATACTGCCTTGGAAGCTTGTTCATAAAACTGTAGGAAGCAACTTTTTGCGCAGTTTTTTTTCTCCATATAGTTTCACTTTTTGGGAGACATATCATGTGTAGTAGGGACTCGAGACGCTAGCTAGCCATCTTTCGAGAAAAGCTGACACTTGCGATGTCGGCAGACACTGTCCCAAACATCGCCATAGCCGTGTTTTGAAATGCTTTAGTTTAGCTGCCTAGTCGATAAGAGGATCCTTATCGGAAAAGCACCGACCAAAGGCCAGGAGGAGAAGACACACACAAACTCGAGAATCTGAATCTACACACGTGCCACAGTAATCTGTCAAGACATAAACCAAAATACTTACGGTTCATAGCGTCATAACTCTCTTTGTTTGTGATAATTAGATGCAGTACTTGGCGAATGCTTCCTCGTTCACAGCTGTGACGGGCGATATGCACCGACCTGCTGGATGTCCGTCCTTACAGGATCCTTTGCTCATGCTGCATAAGTAAAGCCCTTGTCAAAAGCACCGGTTGCCCCGTAGCCAGCACTGCACCTCGTGCGCTAGATATTCTGAGACTTAGAAAAGTGTTCCCTTCTCAACCAGACCGAGTGTGCGTGTGCATTTCTCATCATTCCAATTGACCACTCTATTACCGATGAGCAAATATCTCTAGGATAGTACTTGATCCAGCAGCTAGGACATGGCCACCGTTCATCCAGTGTACAGTACAACGTAATGCCAAAACCAATTCATGTCGGTTGCACCAAGAGTTTCTCAAGTTCTGAAACTTTCTTCTCCTCTCCTAACAGTCTGTATGAATGGTGCTCAAAGAAGTTTATCTACAACCCGGTCGCAGAGTCATGTAATCTCACAAACTGAGAGTCATTGCAGCAATTGGGTGGAGCAAAACTGACTTTTTTATGCAAGCCTATCAAAAAACTGGAAAATTTTTCTCTGTTTATTACGTAACTGAGCAGAAGAGCTTTACATCACACGAGTTATCATTTCGATGCAGAGAGATAGGATCCTCCCGGAGCTGTCGCTCTTATTCAGAAAAAAACCCGCCCCGCACAAATTGTATCAATGGTGAAGTAAGCTGGAATCATAAGGACAACGTTTTAGAAGGCGCAAGGTGTGTACGTTAAGTAGGTGGGCAGAACATCAAGATCTGTCAAAGTTTTGATCATCATAAGATCAGCCTGTTCGACAAACAATACTCCTTTCGTGACAACGATTAACTGTTTACGTTGTCCCCATCCTGGACCCTTCCTGAAACAGACGACATCGACTGTTTATGCAGGGCGTTCTGCAATCGACCTCCATTTATCCTGGTCTCCTCGAATGATGCGTAGACTGCACCAGGAGGACCAAAAACACCCACGTTTTAGAAAAAAGTGATGGTAAATACTTTGTAATGGGTTCCAATGAAAGACGATATATGTAAGTATCGAGTTCGAGTTTTGATTTTCTTGTCTTTTCTCACCAATTATGTAGTGGTATCCGTATTTTCTTGATTCAGGTGCGGGAATGCAGAGCAAATACAATCGTTACAGGGCATGTACACCCTTCATATTTCCAGGATTCAAGGTATAAAGTCTGAATTATGTGTACTTGGATTACGGTTTTCACGGGCTATGCTTTGAGAACGTGACCAAGTGGATAGTAGCTAGTGCACTTTCTTCAAAGTTTTATCTTCAAAGTGTGGTTCAAAGATTTAGAGCTCTATCATGATGTATCTCGATTGTGGAGAACAAGAGTTCTCATCTTTGGCTTGTGACGGGTTTAATCGAAACTTATCAAAGGGAGCTCGATAGACATAGTATTGTACTTCGGGTTGAACAAACAAAAAACGATCGTGGCCAGAAACATCATCGTTTTCAAGTGGTGATAATAGGTCCAATCATAGATTATTATATAATCTTTCACCGATATCCTCTACAGACACATCGATGGGTATCCTCTTTGGAGTGTCGGGATAAGATTGTTTGAGATGATTAAACAAGAGTCCAGAAATCTTTCACTGACAGTACAAACTGCAAAACGACTGCAACTGAAAAGTAACACTTGTTCACAATCATAACGAAACTTCGGTTTGGCTTGTTTAAACGAGACGTGGATCAAGTGGATATGCTTCATTAAATCTTCAAAGGGCACTAGAGTGTTGCAGCATGACATGCTTGAACCGCTTTGGTGAAGCTCCGCTCACATGTACACGCAAGTCATTCGAGCCGGAATTCTTCCTCAAGGAGTATGTGGACTCTGGTAACGAGGAAGTTCCAGATATTAACAGTTTTGATAATTATCTAATCTATATCATTGTAACGCATTTCACGAGAAAATCAATAATCCACTTACACACACACACGAAAAATCAAGAATCCACATTCACACACCA